TTGTAGCATCGGTTTATCTCCAAGGGATTATTGTAGTTCCAGACATTATTGTAGGCATTTTTGGATATATGCATGCATCTTTTTCACTTGTAGATTTTCGCAAATTGTAGACATCTCAAGACTTGCTCTATCACAAGACTTGCTGCTTGCAGCAGCAACACACCAAGAATAAATTAACGGATCAACAAATGGTCCAGGAAACATAGCTACTTGTGGTATCTCTTGATTTTCGAACCAAAACAAGATCCAATACATAAATGAACCAAACACATAGCTCCTACAGATACTGTTGATACAAGTGATACTCTGTATTGATCAACTGACCTGCTGTTGATACTCTGCTAATTGATCTCCTCTTAATTTGCAGGTGAGAAGCAGATATGATCAAGAAATTAAGCATAGCAAAGTCATAGCAACATCAATCTCATAACGTAATAGATACTAGGGATCATGCCCAAACAATTTAACTTGATTACATGATAAATCCCATCCAACTCCATCATCATCCAGCAAGCCTACGAAGGAATTACTCACTCCTGGTGGTGAGCATCATGAAATTGTTGATGGAGGATGGTTGATGATGACAAAAATCTCGCCCCCACCCCCTCTCCGGAGCCCCGAACGCACTCCAAAACAGCCCTCCCGATGAAGACCAAGAGGTGGTGGTGGCTCCATATCATAAAACGCGATGAAACTTCTTCTCCTAATTTTTCTTGGGGAAACGAAATTTATAGAGTTGAGATTAGGGTCAGTGGAGCCTCATGGGCCCCGCAAGGTAACAAGGCGCGCCTAGGAGGGTAGCCGCACCATGTTGCCTTGTGGGCAACTGCCCCCCCCCCCCTCCAATGGGTCTTCGTTCTAGTATTTTTTAATATTCCATAAAAAATCTTCAAAAAGTTTCGTCCAATTCTAAGAACTTTTATTTCTAAACAAAAAATAACACCTTGGTAGTTTTGCTGAAAACAACGCCAGCCCGGGTTAGTTTCATTCAAGTCATGGAAATTGGAGTCCAAAACAAGAACAAAAGTATTTGGAAAAGTAGATACGACAGAGACTATCATGCCGGTCTTCGCGACCCTCGGTGGTTTGTGACCATGCAAGAGGAGTTCGGCGTCCTGTTGCGGAACCGGACCTGGCAGCTTGTACCTTGACCCCCACATGCCAATTCATCAGCGGCAAGTGGTTGTTAGGTCATAAGCTCCGTCCCGATGGCACACTCGAGTGGTATAAGGCGCGTTATGTGGACTGCGACTTTTGACAGCGTGCGAGTGTTGACTTCACCGACACATTCACCTCGGTTGTCAAACCGAGCATGATCTGCACCGTTCTCCAGCTCGTTGCGTCGCGTGCATGGCCCGTTCATTAGATGGATGTGTCTAATGCATTTTTGCAAGCAAGTCTTCTGCAAGTAGCCCACCAGCATCGTTGACGACGCGCATCCTGATCATGTCTGCTTGCTCTCCCACTCCTTGTGTGGATCCAAGTAGGCACTGCGTGCCTGGTACCAGCGTATCGAGGCCTTTCTTCATCGGCTCGGTTTCGTTCCACTCGCTTTGATACCATGCAAGAAGGAATAGAGAAGAGATTGATGGAATTGCTGATGTATTATTCCATCAATCTCCTCTCTATTCCTTCTTACAACTACTCCCTTTGTTTCTTAATATATATATATACTGAACTACCCAAAAGTTATATATTAAGGAACGGATTAAGAAACAGAGGGAGTAGTTGCCATAAGACATTTTCCTTCTCAATAATGAAAGCTTTTGAACTAGGATTTGCGAAATAGATTTCAAGAAGGATTACAACTAGGACCCGAAAAACCATAAAACCATGATTCTTTAATCCGACTACAAGCTCTAACCAAACTCTGTTAGGTAAAGTCGACATATCAACGGTTATTATGCCGACTGACCCGATGTGCGACTTTGTTAGAGCCGCTCTCGGGGCATCTCTAACCAAACTCCTAAATTTTAACTCATAAAAAACCGAACTCCTCCAATTTGAGGAGTTAAAATAACTTGAAAACCGAAGTCCTAAACTTATAACTCTTTAAAAAAGGTTGTACACAAACTCATATAAAAACGAAATTTTAAACTACTTAAACCAAAGACGTGGTAGGATTATCATTTTGGATTGAATTTTAAATTTCACATGGAGAGAGGCCAAATCATGTGTAAAACTAAGTTCCTTTGAAAAGAGCCTGTGGCCTGCGTCGTGGGCCCTACCCACCTGGATTTTTTTTTTGAGGGAAGCTACCCACCTGGATGTGTGTGGCCTGGTGGCCTCTTGGGCGGAGAGATACCGGAGCGATCTCAGGCCCAAAAAAGAAAACCGCTGTGTGTTGCTGGCAGGTGGACCCGCGTATGGCTCGCTGGACCGTCTTGTTTCAGCCACCGCGCCTCACAATCCTTTCCTCCCTGCCGCCGCGGATGGCCGACGTGCTCGGCTCCCCCATTCCGGCGGCACTTTTCCGATGCCTCCTCCAGCGTGTGGCCAACGAACTAACTCTAGCCGACACCTCGCGACCTCCCACCGGCCTACAACACATGTGACTTGCCGCCTGCACCGGCAACTCGACGCGGCCGGGAGGTGCGCAAGCTGTTCGGTCTTTTGACCCAACAGAAATCATGTACAGTACTATTTATGATTATTATTTTCTGCATATACTTTGAGTATTTCCAGTTGAGTTCACATGCAATTGCATTTGCAGATCAAAATTCGGGTGTCGGAGAAGTTGGCCGGACGCTCACAAGTCACAAGGCCGAGCTAATGCACGCCCCCCATGAGGCCATGCCCGTGTCTTGAAGCTCGAGATTGCCAGAGAGCTCGCTGGCCGTTGCATGGAGGTCTGGAGGGACTTGGCCCTTGCACTCGACATGTTCCCTTGCGACATCGAGCAGCAGCTCGCTCAGGCAGTTCATGAGTAGAAGGTCTGTTACTCTCCCTGTTGTTTTAGTTAAGTTATCCAAAGGGTTACTTCTCACAATATACAGCATAGTTTCTCGGCAAGAAATCGCAGAAATTTTAGATATTGACATGACGCTCATCAGAGTTTCGCGTGCTTGTAGCAATCAGCTTTGCTGTTCACTGTGTACTGTTCAAGAAGTATTAGGCCATACCTTTCTGTGCTGAACACTTCATCTTCTGTGACGATTGTTTTGTCAAGAATCAGAGGTTTCTGCAAAAGCGACATGCTACAGTATTGGATGAATAAATTATTGAAATACTAGACAAGTTTTGTTACACTACAGCCACTTACATGTTTGCTTGGATTGCACAGGTATTGGAAGCCTTGTCTTCCTCCACAGAACCGGTAGATCTTCTATATAAGATGGATATTGCCGCTTGTGATCATTCTAGAGTGGTCACTTCACCATCAAGTTCATCAGAATCAGATCATGTACTGAAGTATGTGCCATCAATCCGTGAACGGCTAAAGGTGGGTTACATTTGATCTGTGCCTGTGGTAGGAAATTTGGATTTGATTATACGGTGAAGTTTCTGTCCTGAATGTTTCTATAACCTGTGTGGTCTGTTTCAGGACTGGGAGTGGTGGCTAGATATTTGCACCCAAGCACCCCCGTTGGGGGGAAGAGCAAGTTGGGGGAGGTCACATTCAAAGGTGACTGGATGAAGAGGCGCGCCCATGTTGATCTTGGAGACCAAAGTGGCCCGGCTCGTGGCGCGAGGATCCTGATCCACCTCTCTGACCGGCTGAAGGACTTGGCTGCGACGGTGCTGCTGATGATAGCGCCGCCACCAGCCCGATGTACATATCAAGTTAGACTGGAACGAGCTGACGGCGATCTGGGGGCCGATGGTCGCCGTGAGGACGGCCCCCGAGGGCCGAGGGCGCACAGGGTGAAGGAAGGTCAACCTGAGAGTTTTTGCTTGGAAGAAGCTTGCTACCAAGAGGCCGAGAAAGAGGACCACGGCACTACCAGGATACACACTACGTTTGTATGTTGCTTGTCCAGGATATGATACACACTATGACTATGACTTGGATGGATGGGTCAAACCAAAGGGCGAATATTATGCTCCAGTCTAGCGCGTGATGACGAGCAGAGCAGAGCATGCAGTCCGCAGGTTCCCACTCACTCACAGACATGACGAGACCCACCTACGCGCTCCTCCTTCACACCGTCGCGCTGCTCCTCCTCCTCCTGCTGCTGCCGGCGGCTACGACGGTGACCGCGGCGCCCTCGCAGACGCAGTCGCAGGCCGACGCTCTTCTGGCATGGAAGGCCAGCCTCGGCCACCCAGCCGTGCTGTCCAGCTGGACCAACGCAACGCCGGTCTGCTCCTCTTGGCGCGGTGTGGCCTGCGACGCCGCCGGCCACGTCACGTCCCTCAGGCTCCGGGGGTTTGGAGTTGGACTCACAGGCACGCTCGACGCGCTGGACGCCGCGGTGCTCCCGGCTCTGACCACACTCGACCTCAACAACAACAACTTCACCGGCTCAATCCCGGAAAGCCTCTAGCGGCTGCGCTCCCTCGCCGCGCTCGACCTCGGCAGCAACTGGTTGAATGGCTCCATCCCGCCGCAGCTCGGCGACCTCTCGGGCCTCGTCGAACTCCGCCTCTACAACAACAACCTCGCCGGCGACATTCCGCATCAGCTCAGCAGGCTCCCCAGGATCATGCACCTCGACCTGGGCGCCAACTTCCTCACCAACCAGAAGGGCTACCGCAAGTTCTCGCCCATGCCCACCGTCAACTTCCTCTCGCTCTACCTCAACTACCTCGACGGAGGCTTCCCGGAGTTCATCCTCAAGAGCGGCAACATCACCTACCTCGACCTGTCGCAGAACACTCTCTCTGGACCAATACCAGACTCGCTGCCGGAGAACCTCCCCAACCTCATGTACCTCAACTTGTCCATCAATGCCTTCTCCGGGCGGATACCAACGTCGCTGTCGAAGCTGGAGAAGCTCCAGGACCTGCGGGTTAGCCACAACAATCTGACGGGTGGAATCCCCGAGTTCCTTGGTTCCATGTCCCAGCTGAGGGGTCTTGAACTCGGCGGCAACCCGCTCGGCGGATCGATCCCGCCAGTTCTCGGCCGGCTCGAAATGCTACAGCGCCTTGACATCATGAACGCCGGGTTGGTTTCCACTATTCCACCCGAGTTGGGCAACCTTGGCAATGTCAATTCCATGGAACTAGACATGAACCAGCTCACCGGTGTCCTGCCGCCGGAGTTGTCCGGGATGCGCCAGATGCGTGAATTTGGCACATCATCGAACAAACTCACCGGTCAGATTCCACCGGCTTTATTTACGAGCTGGCCAGAGCTCGTATCATTCCAAGTGCAGAACAACTCGTTTTCAGGGAGGATCCCACCGGAGCTCGGCAAGGCAGCCAAGCTGAAAATCCTGTATCTCTTCAGCAACAATCTTGTCGGCTCTATCCCTGCAGAGCTGGGCGACCTAGTGAGCCTGAATCACTTGGATTTGTCGGTGAACTCTCTCACGGGACCGATCCCCAGCTCGTTCGGGAATCTCAAGCAGCTCCTGAGGTTGGCGCTCTTCTTCAACCGGCTCACCGGCACGATCCCAATGGAGATTGGCAACATGACAGCGTTGCAAGTCTTGGACATCAACACCAATAGTTTGGAAGGCGAGCTGCCCACCACCGTCACATGGCTCAGTAATCTCCAATACCTTGCCCTGTTTGACAACAACTTCAATGGCACCATACCGCCGGACCTCGGGAAGGGGCTGAACTTAACTGACGTGGGTTTCGCGAACAACAGCTTCTCCGGTGAGCTGCCGCAGAGACTGTGTGATGGCCTCACGCTGCAAAACTTCACGGCGAACCACAACAACTTCAGCGGCAGGCTGCCGCCCTGCTTGAAAAATTGCACGGGGTTGTTCCGGGTGCGGCTGGAAGGCAACCAATTCACTGGCAATATCTCAGAGATGTTTGGCGTCCATCCCAGCTTGGACTACTTGGATGTCTCGGGGAATCAGCTGACAGGGAACTTATCATCTGATTGGTCACAATGCACCAATCTTACACTCTTAAACATGAACGGTAATCGAATATCTGGCAATATTGATGCAACCTTCTGCGAATTGATCTCTCTCCATTCTCTGGATCTATCAAATAACCAATTCACTGGGGAGCTCCCAAGTTGCTGGTGGAAACTCAAAAGTATGTGGTTAATGGATTTGTCCAACAACGGTTTTTCAGGTGAACTTCCTATATCAACAAGCTTGGGCCTTGAACTCCAGTCACTTCGTCTTGCTAACAATAGCTTTCTTGGAGTTTTTCCATCTATAATTGAAACCTGCAGAGATCTTGTCATCCTAGATCTTGGGAACTACAAGTTCTTCGGTGATATCCCCTCTTGGGTTGGAACGAGTGTTCCTCTTCTAACAGTTCTGAGCCTCCCATCCAACAATTTCAGTGGTGTTGTTCCACCCGAGTTATCCCAACTTTCTTATCTGCAAGTACTGGACCTGTCCAGCAACTCCTTCTCAGGTGAGATCCTCACGGCCATGCCAAACCACAATTGCTCTCTCGAGTCATTTCATCTCGCCGGCAATGGCTTCGTGGGTGCCTTCCCACCGTACCTACGAGGCTGCAACTCCCTGGCCACCCTGGACATCGGGAACAACCGGTTCTTTGGTGGTATCCCCACATGGATCGGGAATCAGCTTCCATCACTGAAAATCCTTAGACTCGGATCAAACAATTTCACCGGAGAAATCCCCACGGAGTTATCAAGGCTTTCGCAACTTCAGCTGCTCGATATGGCCAACAATAGCTTGATAGGATCAATTCCAGTTGCCTTTGGCAACTTGACCTCCATGAGGCATAATGTTCCCCCATTGGTCCGACCGAGGCCAGTTTCCGCTCCTTTGCAGATTATGCCCAATGGCCAAGGCCAACTGCGAGTGGATGAGTTTCCAGCCAGAGTCAACATATCATGGAAGGGCCGTGAGCAGACTTTTCAGAAAAGCATCGGGTTAATAACAGGTATTGATCTATCAAGCAACCGACTTACAGAGAGCATCCCTGAAGAGCTAACATACCTCAAAGGTCTCCGGTTTCTGAACTTGTCCAGAAATGATCTATCAGGCAGTATTCCAGAAAAAACCGGAAGGTTGGAGCTCCTGGATTTCCTTGACCTCTCATGCAATGAACTCTCAGGCACTATTCCTCCTAGCATTTCAAATCTGCGGTCCCTCGGCATGCTAAACCTCTCTAACAACCACTTATAGGGCCGCATACCCACTGGAGATCAGTTACAGACGCTCGTGGATCCATCGATTTATGGCAGTAATCCAGGGCTCTGTGGCTTCCCGTTGTTGAACGTGTGTGAGCCTACATTGGACCAAGGAGCTGAAGTCCACAAAGAACTGAGAGGAGACATGTGGTTGTGGTACTCTGTAATTCTTGGCATTGTTTCCGGCTTCTGGCTTTGGTTTGGAGCTCTGTTCTTCCTGGAGCAGTGGAGGTCTTGTTTTCTCTGTTTTGTTGATGGCTTAGGCAAGAAGATACATGCCAGACGTCAATAAGGCATATATTAGGCTCACATGTGGTAAATCAGCAGCGACGTCATAGCGCCAATTATGTATGTTCCTTTTTACTCCCTCCGTAAGTCTTTTTAGAGATTGCACTACAAACAACATACAGATGTATATAGACTTATTTTAAAGTGTAGATTCACTCATTTTGCTCCGTATATAGTCTAGTGAAATCTCTAAAAAGACTTATATTTAGGAACAGAGGGAGTAGAAAAGTTTGTAAGACTGTACTTATACTGAATTATATATGGTAAGTAAAGTGAAATAATTGGTCCACTAATATAGATGCAGCTTTGTTATCTGACCCAGGTGAAAGAAGAGTTCATTCTACTTGAGGGATTCGATGCATGCATGAGCTGGCTCAGAACGGCTGTACTCACATTTATCCTGGGTAATGAAATTTTCTTTCCCGGCAAAAAGGGGTAACTGTTTTTTGGATTGATTTTATTACAGGTTTTTTTTGGAAAAGGGGTGTAACCCCGGCCTCTGCATCAGAACGATGCATACGGCCACATTTATGATTTTATTACAGGTAACAAGCAAGTAACCAGGTCAATTCTTTTGGGTCTGTTTGGTTCGTTCTTGTGTACTCTTGAGAGCAAGTTTTTACCTTTCTGTCTTGGGCGCTTTTACTTTTCCTGTAATTTTAAACACGCAAAAAAAAAGTGTTTGCTTAAGCTTTTCAGCTTGTTTCGATAAGGCCCTGTTTGAAATAAAGAAACAGCTTAAGAACTTTGGAGGATAGGATTTCCATAGGAATTTTCCCTTTGGTGCCGTTTGGAGCAAAGAAATGAGCAAAAAAATTATATTCTTTCTCGAAAAATAATAATTGTATTCTACATTCCTTTGGAGAAAATAAACCTCATGATTTTTTTTCTTTCAAAAAAGAGGTTAAATCCCCGGCCTCTGCCTCATTGTGATGCACACAAATATCTTTATTAAAGTTGATGTTGGCAGTGCCTTAGCCAGGATATAGCTACGGCCCGGGCCGGCTTCGTACAGTAAATACTATAGCTACAGTATACAAAGTGTTTTACTTCCACGCCCCAGGCGGAACTGGCTCCTCTAACTTCGCTCCTATGAAGTTAGGGAAACAATACCCTAACTTAGTTTGTGAACCATCAGATGAGAAATAGACGGCCAAGATTTTGCACTGTTCACATGGGGCTATAACATACTGTTTGGACGAGCACTGTAGCTAAAATCACTGTTTGTTACCTGTAGCAATTGACACTGTTTAAGAACTGTAGCGATAGATCTCAGCCATTTATTCTAGATCCAACTGATGAAATGTGGCTAAGTTAGGCTCCTAACTTCACAGTAGCTAAGTTAGAGGAGCCGGTTCCGCCCCAGGCATCGCCCGGGCAGCCCGGGCAACAAGGCCAAAATCATCAGCAAAATGAATACGAAACATAGTCAACTACAGAAGAACCTTTGCAAGATATGAATGCAATACTCATGACTAAGTCTACTTTTGCCGCAGCAACACCTCTAAGAAGGAATAAACGTCCTCACGCCGTCATCGTCCCGTTGGGCCAAAGATGATGGAAGAGGACTTTTATCATGTACGGTGAGCCCAACCACTGAAGGCTAAGAGCATCTCCACTCGTTCGGCCCCCCAGCGCATAGGCCGGCGCATTTTCGGGCATCCACCCGGCGATTTTTAGACCCTGGGGGCAACCAAGGCCCCAGCCACGCCCCAGGTGCCGCCCCCAGGGCGCCAGACACGCGTCCCATATTCAAACTTGATCGTTCCCGCTAAAAAAAAACCATAATCCGGCGATCATCGCAATAGTTCGGCGATTCAGTGCCACAGTTCGGCGATCAAATGAAAGGATATGCAGTAGTTTGGCGCACAAAAAAAGGAAGGACGCGAAAGGAATGCATCAAACGTCGAGGTCGACCCCCGGTGTCGTCGTCGGCGTGCGCGGGCTGGGAGGAGTCGGCGCGGCTTCTGGACTAGTTGGCGCGACTTCTGTGCTGCTGGGCATCGCTGAGACATCGTCAGTCGGGCTGGGCGGCGGCGTCAGCGTCGACGTTGGAGTCGCCGGTATTTGGTTCAGGATGAGGCCTCGCTCCGCCAGGAACCACGCCTTGAGCTTCTTGTCGCCGTTCTGAAGCATGTCAGTGCCGCCCATCAAGAAAGCCAGGTCGTTGTTCCTCTTCTTGGCGTCTTGAGCTTTGAGTTTCACGGCGACGTTGGTCCGGAGCAAGTCGAGTTTGAGGGTGTTGTTCGTCATCAAAGTAGCCCACCTTGCCTCAGTTTTCTCCTCTTGCTGGGCGGCCCTGGTTTTGGCGTCAGCGAGGCAATGCTCCATGGACTCTTACACGCGTGCGGCAGCTGACTGGGTGTGTTTCACCTTCTTGGCCCCTTTGTTGCCGTCCGGACGCCCGTCTGCCGCTCCCGGTATCGGCGCGTCCAGCTTGTACGTCTCCTTGGCCTTGGCGCGGGTGCGTCGGATATCCGCCCACTTCTCGCACTTGTCGATCCGTTTGAAGACGTGGAGGTACTTGAACTCTTGGTCGCCGTTGTCGTCGCGGTAAATGGCGAACATGCACGGCAGCTGCGCCGAAGAGCGGGCATCAGTCGACGCGGGCGCGCGCACGGCGAGAGGAATAGGGAGAGGACGGCATGCTGTACCTGGTCTCGACGCTGGTGCCGCTCTTTGGGCGAGCCGCGACCTCCTCGACGATCTCATGCCATTTGTTGCACGCCATTTGGATGAGCCCCCAATGGTTCACCATCGCCTTCGACCCCCGCTGCATGTGGACGCCTTTGCAGTAGGGGTCGACGAACTTGTGCTCGTCGAACTCGGCCTTGATGCGGTACTAATACGTGTCAATGTTCTGGTTCGTGTCGGTGATCGGGTCGAGGCATACGACCTTCCACGCTTCGGCGAGGCACTCATCTTCCTTGGCCGCCCACTTGATGCATGGCTCGCCGGTCTTGGCCGCCCCTTTCTTCTTCTTCTTCTTCTTCTTCTTGCCTTTCCTCGTCGGCCCCGGCTCCTCCTCTTCCTCCTCCTCCGGCTCTTCCTCGCCGTAGTCGAGCTCGGCGTCCATGTCGCCGAGATCAATCGAGCCGTCTTCGGTAGTGAACCCGGGGGAAGCGGCGGCGGCAGCCGAGACAGCTGCGATGATGTCTTCCATGTCAGCCTCCGTCGCGTCGGCGTCGCCAAGATGCGACAAGGAGGAGGATTGCGAGTAGAGGCCGCATCGGAGAGGTGGCGTCGGGGAAGCTGCGTAGTCCGGCGACGAGTACGTGTATGGAGGGTACTGCATGCCGGCGAACGCGGGCGATAGCGTGCGCTGGACCGGGCGCCCATGGGGAAAGGTGATGTTGGGGTTGAAACCACCGTGGACGTCGCCATCGGCATAGCCCGACGACGGCGTGCTCCATGGGTGTGGCGACGACGAGAAGCCGGCCGGAGATCTGACGCTTTGCTGGCTCCAGGCCGCGTGCGGGCCGTGGCCACCGGGCGGATTCATCATGCCCGCGCGAGCCGCCTCGGCTTGTTCGGCAGCCGCGCGCTCCGCCTGCTCCGCCGCCGCCGCCTTCTCCCTGGCCTTCTTGGCCCTGTTGCGCCTATCGGCGGTGACGGCCTCCCGGCGCTGCACTTCCGCCTTCCAGTCGGCGTTGGTCATGCCCGGGGGCTTGGACGGCGGCACCCTCTGCTTCCTCTACTTCGGCTGGTCGAAGGCGGCAGCTGTGGGATCCGTCGCGGCGCGGGGGATCACGTACTTCTTCAGCGGCATGGCGGGCGGCTTGGAAGGGAGGAGGCGGAGTTTGGCGGGAGGAATGGAGAATGAGAGGGAAGCCGAGGGGGGGGGGGAAGCGGGAGGAAATGGCGGGAAAAGGGCCTCCTCTCGCCGACAGAGCGGCCCCACGCCCCTTTTCGCTTCTGCCGACGCCCCCAAGCAACACCCGGGCGCTTGGGTTCGGGGCGGTATCGCCGGCTCTGGATTTGGCCCAAACCGGCGCTGAACGAGGTCCTGGGGACGCGACTTGGCCGATTTTCAGTCACCGACGCTAAAAATTCGCCTGGGGGGACCTGTTGGGGATGCGGCTGGAGATGCTCTAACACATAGCCAACAGAAGATGCCTTCAACAAGTTAACGACGACACATGTTCAATGTTGCTGACCCAGCCAATAAAGGCCAGAACCAAGTTTTCACATTGGGAAGCGGTGTTTCAGGGCCGAAATCACTATTCTGACCTTTTCAGCAATCTTTGCCACAAAGTGAACTCGACATAAAAGTATTTCACGATCTGACCCTTTTAGCAACGCCACAGCCCGTGGCATTTCTTCTCCATATAAAAACGCCGAAGTAGCTAGCGTTTCAAACCCACATACGAACGCCAAGCTAGCTAGCG